GATGGGGAGGCTCCAGAAGATGCGTAGCACAGGGTGGTTAAGGATGGATTCATCCTGAATCCTGACTCCACTACCATGCTATTAGACCTGCTGGAGATGTGCCTAACCCTCATGACAACCAAGTGCACAAGCTAACTTTTTGTTAAATGTCACTTACACAGTTTGGGTCACGGTTGTTGACTGCAGAGCCGCAGTACTAGTAACCTTACCTAGCTGCCAGTGGCTGAGTGTGTTAGCAGCAGTACAGCAGTACAGCAGTACGGTGTACAGACGTTATGTTAGATCTACATAATAATTATCGTGCTTAAGTTAGTCCGATTGTGTTTGATGTATTTCACTAGGACCTTACAAATATTAGCCTGTTGAGACCACCAATGTAGATCGAGTAAAACAAATTGCACCCTGGAAGCCATGTTGGTTGAGAACACAGTACATGGCAAGCTCAGCAGGGAGCATTGTGCCCACACTCCCCACAGCTGGTGCCAAAATCTGGTAGTATCTGGTGCAAGCAAACCAACTTATCCTTGGCATGTCAGGAAATTAACCTGGTGCAATCCCGTATGAATACACAGAGATGCCTGGAGTATTATTGTCACTGAAGCAGTGTTGTGAAACTGCGTGTGAGCTGATTCCAGGCATGCAGTCCGGATAGCTGGGAACCACTTTGAGTGCATCCCAGACTACCCCTTCCGCATAGCCAGGGAACCGCTTTGAAAACATCTCTGACTATGCCGGTGTAGAATCACTTTGGAATGCACCTTGGACTACGCCCCTGTGGTGTGAAGCCTCGGAACGTTCCACTGTGATGCTATCTCGAACAGTGGCAGGGAGGCCATGTTTGAGACGTTTTTGGACATGTTGGTCCGTGCTGTTCACAGCAGATTTCCCTATACAGTTAGTTGTGTCAAGAACTGGCAGTACTGAAGTGGAGTGTATTTTAAGAACTGGCAGTAAGGAAGTGGTGTGTATTTTACAGTGACACGTGAGTGTACACCTAGTGACTATGGTGAAGAGTCAGGGAGGCCACGCCCAGCAGAGCATGGTATCGTGTGTGCGTAGTAGACTACTGGGTAGTGCGTGGTATCGTGCCGTCTATACGTACCTGGTGACAGACAGGTGCCATGAATGGGTAAATGGATAAGTAGATGTAGACTGATACAGGTTAGGACACAGTTCATGGAGAAATACATGTACTGGTATCTGCCTTTTTCTATACACACTACATGCTCTATCCGCTATCCAGTTGTTCAAATAGCTTTCGACCACGTTTTAGTAGTCAGTTTTGACAGTGCTTGGAAGCGGAAGGATTTTTCCAGCCGTGCTACGACCCACAGTTAATTGGAACTCGTGGCCTGGCACGAGGGAAACATGGATGCAGTGAATGGGATTTCGGTCTTTGACCACTTGTGGTGGGTCTGATCTGCTCACCTCCCACCGCTTAAGGCCTCGGTCACACATGCACTTTTATTAGGAGCTGCATCTGCGCCTTGATCCTAGAGGGTGGTGACGTTCCTACCGATGCGGAAACTCTCACGTGAATTTTTTTATTTTTTTGGCAGTGCACTTAGAAAAAATAATGGTGAGCGATACGAATAATAATATGGGGTTGGCAGTGCGGCACGATGTGCCAGTTTGCTGCAAAAAGCAGAAAAGCAGATTGGCATTGGCAAGCAGATTGGAAAGGCAAGTGCCCAATCTGCATGCATGCAGTAGTAATCTGAGCAATCTGCATGCATGCAGTCTGTTCTCAGTGACAGACTGAACCACAACTGTACACAAGTACGTACATCATGCACAACTACAGCACAAGTCTGTCGGCCCTTGACAATCAGGACTCGTCGGTCATTGTCACACACGGATAGTGAGGAGGCTTGGAAATGTTTTTAAATGTTGAAGCATATTCAAAATGTTGGAAAATGGAATGCTAACACAAACATGTGCTTTGTACTAGTGACTTTGAATAGTGTAAATATTTCAATTTACATGAATGTTTCAAAATGGCGATACAATGTTGTCAAAGTGTCTCAATATAGAAATTTACCCTGCATTCAGGGGATAAACAAATCTGTTGAAAGTAAAGTAAAAAAAGAAAATGCAACAGGACTACGTAGTAGAGAAAGGATACTATTCGTGTTTTCACAATGCCCACGATGTAATGTGAAAAGATACTATTCATGTTTTCACAATGCCCACGATGTCATGTGAAAAGATACATCAGGCTTAGGAAACAAAGTTGTACAAACTGCCGCACTTGCCACATGCTCGAATAATGCACAACACTGTGAACAAAAGATGCAGCCTCCGTCTTGAAACGCGGTCTAACTCTTCTGGGATTTATCGGTGAGTTGAGCGCCACACGCGTACCTCGAGCATGATGTAGGCGAGAATGCGCACTGCAGCCGCCCACATGATCACTTTGTAGATATCCCAGTATGCATGAGACTGCACAGGACACAGACATAAGCACATGTTTGGACACAAGAACACACACACACACACA